AGGTACATATCGGGAACATAAATATAAACGTACATAAATTTCACTTGATAGAATTATAAATGAATACATACCAGTAATGATACCAGGTCCTGCCTTGGCATCTTCTATAGTCATCTAGAATGCACGACCCCTGGCCTTCAGATCTTCAACCCTCCCCTAAAGACCATCAGTGATCCGAATTAGGAGTTGGTTCCTATACAGGCTTAACAACAAGCAATGGAAAGTTGGCCTTCACATGGTCAACCTGATCACAATGATAACAAACTTGGGTGCCCTGCTGCATGGGCTGCTACTGTTTGTCTTGACAATCTATGGATAAATTCCCCTTCTTGCTACATTTGTGGCATAAAGTCGCTGAACGACAAACTCCATCATGCACCTTACCACATTTTCCACAAGTCTGGGCTCATTTTCCTCTAGATTGGGAATCAACGGCCTTATACCGCTTGGCTATTGGTTGATTCTGATTTGGGTCTTGGCTCTTCTCCTTTTCCTACAACTCAATCTCAATCTCTCTCCTCCATGAAAATGACTGAAACTTTGATTGGGAAAGATACCGGTGAGTCGAAACAAACTCCCGAATCATAGTCTTGATCATTTTCAAGTATCAAGACATTTGAACCTGTTTTGATGCAGCATATGTGGGGTAGAAGAGGGATCTCTTAGTAAACATCTTGGTGATCTCCATCATCGACCCTGTCATTTGATTTAATGAAAGGTACTCTTGGGCTAACTTTTCTCTTTCTCCCTTAACTAGTGGAACATACTCAACACAAAACATGTCAATGAACTACTCCCATGTCACTACGGCTTGCTCCATAATAGAAACACTTTAAATGAAAAACTTCCAGCAATCCTTCACGCCTAGGTGAAGAGGTTTTCGTGCAAGATTCACCTTCTGATTCTCCATACATGAACATGTGTAAAATAACCCCTTAAAAAATGGAATATCCATCTCATAGCAACGATCGAGTCCTTAACCCGGCCAAACTTTGGGGACTTCGTGTTACTGAACTCTCGGTACCACATAGATGCTCCTCCTTAAAGTCCTGCAGTCATAATGGTTGCAGTGGCTGTGGCGGCATCAACCTCGGTGATGACTGAATAACGCCCATCATACATCTCAATCAGAGTGTTCTTTATAGACCCAAATACTTTTGGGATCACCTCCCTAACTGCCAAAGTCACCTGAGTAGAGATCAACTCATGTATCTCATCGTCACTCAAACTTGGCCTATCTGATCCATGAACACCTGATCCTGGACCTCTCGTAGTCACCATACTTGAAATAATAAACCAGAATAGGTCATAATTAGATTATATACTCTAACACATCACTAATCAATCACTCACTCCTCGAAACTTGACACTTCCATGATATGTGTGCGGGCCTATATTACCTTCCACACCTACCTGTATTTGTCTCCGAATATCGCCATGAATTCACAGCCAATAGTGATGGGTTTTGATACATAAAATATAGTGTTTTTCATTAAAAAAAAACCGGTAATAAAACCTTTTAAAAATAACTAGTTTAGTTTATATCATTTAAAAAAACCATCAAGGATCCTTTTACAAGGTTAGAATGATATAAACATAACCATAGGATGGTTTATAATGGTAACCTTTGGAGCCTTTGAACCCAATTGGTTTTGGGGTATTGAAGTAGACCGAAAGATCAAATAGTATAATCTTCTCTAGAAGTTCCACCACCAAGAGTAAGATACTTTGGAATGCTAATTCCTTGTACTCTTGAATACCTTAAGACTTTAATAACTTAAGACAAGTGATTACTAATGAAGATAACTGAATGCAGCTTTAACCACAAAAAATCACTTTAAAAGAAAGCAAACTTCTTGTGTAGAAAAACCCACAATTTTAGAGAGAATTTTGGACAAAAAAGAACTTGTTTTACTCATGCATAAGACTCTCTTATGTATCCACATAAAAGTAAGTTCCAAACTATTATTATATTCTAATGTAATATAAAGCATAAGGAGCATAAGGAATAAATAAATGGATGGTGACAAGTAACCTCCCATGTTTCTAGATTATTCTCATCCATTGGATAAAAGAAGACAAACTTTATGCTAATTACTTTAATTATTAAAGTAACTTACTGGCTAGTCCATTGTTAAAAAAGTGTCCTAAAACTTTATACATGACTTATTAATCATACCATATGAAATAAAAACTAGTTTGTTATTTTTTTATTATTATTTCATAAAAAAATAATTTCTCTCTAATTAAATACAAGAGTTGGGTTTATTTATTAATAATCGGATATTTAATAAATATTTAATAACTACTAACTTGATAAAGGTGTGACCCTATAGGATGATATGTTACTAGCAATATCACTCAAAAATGATCCTTGAGCATGTAGATCCAACAATTTCCTACTTACACAAGATTCATTATAGACGGATATACACAGTAGCTGACATCTAGAAATGGGCTATTACTCCTAAAAACCCACATAAGGGTGCCTTTAATCAACATCCAATTACAAGAGCTCAAAATCTACAATTGAAGTATAAGGTAAGTTTATCAATATTCTCTTTGTTACAGACATCATGTTGGATATGAGACATGAAACGTGATCATTCTAGTATGGAATCCAACTTACAGTAAGGCGCCTTAGATGTCTCACTCTCAACACATAAGAGGAAGAAATCCCATCTTGACTACATAAACACTCTCACACACTTCATATTACACCCAATGATGGTGTTTATGACTACAGTATTACAAACAGTGTTTAACCATGTCAAAGTACAACAATTCCCATACTCGAGTTCTCCAATATGTATCTCAGGGCGAAAGACATAAAGATATTTACTAGTGTTCAAGATTCACTTATGATAACGATCCATGAAGTGGTTCTTGATGTGTTTCATATCCAATATTTGTTCTCTAACAAGTACATATGAATTTGGATGCAAAACTTTGCTATTTCACCACTTGAAATCAATCTATTCAATTATATTAGTCTTAATTCATAGTTTCTTCCACAACAGTAACTGGCTATGGATAATTTTGTATAATTAAAACAAGTATTAAATTACGTGATAATATAGAACACAATAATATATAACACAAAATAGATATCTCATACATGAAAAGAGATTACATATCAATGCTATAAAGTTCATAATATCTTGATATTAGAAAATACAAATTTAAATCCAATCACTAGCTAATCAGAGACTGATTCCTTTTGTATGGCCCTTAAACTTGTTTTGAGGAAGAGGCTTTGTGAATGGATCTGCTATATTATCACCTGTATGAACCTTCTCAACGCGTATATTTCCAAATTCCAATTCTTGACGAATAAATGTGAATTTCCATTGAATGTGTCTAGTCTTGTTGGAGTAACCATTGGGTCTCTTGTGATAGAGATAGCACCAGTGTTTTCACAAAGCATCTCAATGAAATTTTTGATGTTTGGAACAACATTTAGATCACCGATGAATTTCTTCATCCAATCAACTTCTTGAGTTGCCTCAGATGCAACTATACACTTATATTTTGTTGTAGAAAGTGCTACCACTTCTTGATTTGAACTTTTCCATGAAATGGCTCCTCCATCAAGTGTGAACACGTAGCCTAATTGTGATCATGAGTAATCTCAATCAGTATTGAAGTTAGAATTAATGTAACGTCTTACCTCAAACTCTTTATTAACTGCTATCCAATGTTTTTTTCTAGGATTAGATTGAGATCTACTAGTCAAACTAATAACATAAGCTACATATGGCCTTGTACATGTCATCATCAATACTAGGGCAGTCTACCTTAGAAAGAATGATGCCATGCAGTATGGGTATAATTCCTGGTTTTGAGTTAACCATTGAAAAGCGTTTTATGACTTTGTCTACGTATGTACTATGACTCAGACCAATGAGTCTTTGGGATCTATCTCTATAGATCCTAATGCCGAGTATGTATGTAGCATACCTTAGATCTTTAATTTGAAAGGACTTACTAAGATAAGTCTTGGCTTCTTTCAATAATGGGATATTTTTCCTGTTCAGTAATATATCATCGACAGACAAAATTAGCAAATCGATTTTCCCCCACTTGCTTTGATGTATGCACATGGTTTATCGGGCATTTCTAAGAAACCAAAATTTTTGATGTTGTCATCAAAATGATGATACCAGGCCCTTTATGCCTACTTTAATCCATAAATTGACTTCATTAGTTTTCACACCTTCTTTAGGTTTTCTCGGTCAGAAAAACTTTCAGGTTATTTCATATAGAAATCTTCCTCAAGATATATATTAAGCAAATTGGTTTTGACATCCCTTTTCCATATCTCATTGTTCTAATATACAACTATGTCCATGAAAATCCTAATAGATTTAATTATGGCAACTAGCGAGAAAGTATCTTTATATTCAATGCCTTCAATTTGAGTATACGCTTTCACCACAAATAGAAAAACAACCTTTTACAATTCTCATTGTGAGTCGTAAAAGGCTTAGATGACGCGTAAATGCGCGTCAAGGAAGGCCCTGTCATAAAGAGAGACGATGTGCTTTTGTGCGTCGTCTATTGACGACGCTCATTTACGACGTGCAATTATGACGCGCGTTTACGACACACAATGCGTATCAAGGAAAGCCTTGTCATAAATCAAGACGATGCGTGATGTAACCTTACGACACACGTTTTAATGACACACAATGCGTATCAAGAAAGCACCTGTCAAGAAAGGCCATGTCATAAATGAAGAGGACTCACATTTTTGCGTATCATAATTTTAAATGTTTAAAAAAATATTATTTATAGATTTACTAATTTTCAAATTAAATAATACATTAAAAATCTCATAATACAAAATAAAATACCATAAATAACAAAGATAATTCATTTGACTAATATATAAAATACAAATAATTATTCCAAAAGTGAGTAAATGTTATAAAAAGATGAACTCATTTATATACAACTGCATCATCTAGCTTACTATGTGCCAACAACTCTCTGTGTGTTTACTTTTGCTTGAGTCTCGTTTCCTCCAAAGCTTCTAGCCATGCCAAAATATGATATCTTGAGTCTCGTTTGAATAGATCATGCGCAATAGGTCTAGCTTGTATCATTCCAAATAATTCCAATGCTGGTCTCTATACAAGCCAATAATTTGAGAACTTAATTTTGCCATTATTTTATAATTAATCAAATAAGTAAACAATAAACACCTTCTTCCATATATGAAAGAGAACAAGATAAACAAGATCAGTATCGCCACTTTCAATTGCCTTAGTCAGGGTTGTATCTTCTTCCCCAATGCCTAGTAAAAAGGAACCTGGAAAAGTGCTAATTTCCTCCTGCTAGTCTGATCGGCAGGAGCAGCAACTGCAGCATAAGAAATGCTTCTGCAGAATTTTAACTGAAAAATCCCAAAAAGTTAGCCATTGACATTTTTAGTGTACTTTAATCCTATAAAACTTTGAACAAACCTTATCAAGTATGATATATCTTGATAACCACTTCATGCAGATTAAGCCTAAAAAAGAATCAATCCACCAATCAAAACTTGTAAGCTTTTTTAAGTTTCAAGCTCCATATTTCAAGTACGTTGCTATTTTTTTTGCAATTTGATGAAATAACACTAACAAGATAGCCTTGTTCTTGTTGATGATCAAATTTTCAAAAATAAAAATAAAAACCCTCTCCTAACTGTTACTATTTAATCATGTGGAAGAAAGAAAATTGTAAACAGGTTACAACAACAAGGATATCATGTAATGTAACACAACATTGATCTGCATGCATTTACACACTAAAACGACTAGTAGTATTTACATAATTCCCCCACCCCACCTCAGGCTTAGGCTTTGATTTGGTTTGGTTTGGCCAACAACAATGACAACTATACCCTACTACTATTATTACTGCTACTACTAAAGGGGGATTAGTTAATACAATGGGTTCCAAAAATATGAGAGAAATAAACAAAATCTTTTAACAAAGGAAATGAGAGATGGGAAGAAATTACGTATACACATACCTCTATATCTTTCTCCATCCATCTCCATGGCGTGGCTCTCATCAAAGACTGAGATTGAGACTGAGAGATCCTACTTTGAAATTTCAATCGAAAACAATATTGCAGCCTGTATTCATCTTCCTACTAACCGCCTGACAGAATGCAACTATGAACGTCATCTGCAACCAAGATTAAGAATCACCACTCATATAATGAGATATGTTATACAACATTTTAATCACCATTTTACCCTTGCAATCTAACAAATAATATTCATCAATTTTAACGTGATAAAAAAAAGTAGAAAAACAAATAGGTAAAGAGTGTGTATCAGAATAGATTAAACCAGGTTTTTTGGTTTAATCGGTTATGTCATGCTGTCTAGATTAAGTCAAATAAAGAACAACCATGTGTCTAGATTAAGCTCGATCAGTCAAAAGAAATAGAAACAACCCCCTAATCTGGTAAAGCTATATTATACAAGTGTGTATTTCATTGACCTAATAATGCACACACAAGTAACACAACTTACCACAAAGTAGAAAACAAGTCTTTCTTACATACAGACATCCTTGTTACAAGAACACACACACACACACACACAGAGAAAGACAACAAACACCTAGTCTGCATTTGTTACAAGGGATGGGACTGGACAAGCTCTTTAGGTCTATTTTCCATGAGATAATGAGAAGGGCATTCATGTCATTTGCACAGAGAGAGAAAATTTCCTAACTTGTTCTACCTTTTTGGTTGGGAGTGACAAAAAATTGCAATTTCTATCTCATTAGTCCAACCCATGTCTATGCAATATTACTATGTAGACCTCTCGTGGTGCTCGAATTCTTGATGGTTCTTTCATGACTCAAGAACTATGCTTTTTAAGACAGTCAAAAATAAAATATACTGTGATTTCAAAATTAGTTTATTGATAAAATAAATTGAAAATTACGATTCTGGTTCCTGTGGCATATTGTTTTCTTCAGGTTTGGTCCAAATTATTAGTTGAATGGTTAGATTTAACAAAATTAGGACCAGTTTCCTTATGAAACACGAAAATAAATACCAAAAAATTTAGATTTGGACCAAAACCGAAATTTTTTGCTGAACACAAGGACCAAAATTGAAAGTTCTCGTTGGTTGTGGTAGGTTTTGCATGTTCTTCAAGTAAATGTGAAAAATCTATTATTGTTGATGCTTACAGACCCCTCAACATGCACCATGAGGATCAATTGCTTGGCTGCATTTCAAAGCTCCAAGAAAGAAATAGCTTGCTGTACACCGTATCATGATAGAGGAACAGAGCCATGGCTAAGAAAGACAAGTACAAATGCTTGGCTTTTGACAGGTGTCAGTGAGGAAATTGAAGGACCCGATGGAACACCTCAGGATCAAGGCGATATATATTGTGTAGTCTGTTATGAAAGCGGCTCACTCAAAATATACGATGTCCCGATTTTCTCTTGTGCTTTTTCGGTTGATAGCTTTGGTTGAGAGTGACAAAAAAGTGAGGTGAGGTGAAAGAAACCTACGCATATGTTTGAGCCAATGGCAAATTGAGAATATTACATATTCTTCTCAAATCTCAAAACATATTGAATCTCCGCAAGTACAACATCATTCAAAAGGGTCGAATTCTGATAAACAGAAACATACACGAGATATTAAAAAAGGTTGAATTCAGTGTACTTTCATTGTTGAGTTTCTTTCAAAAGTGCAGCTCTCTTCTGCTCTCTTATGTACATCATTCAAACCAAAAAATCAATGGGGGAAAATATGTAAAATGTCAGGAATTAATGGTTCTCTCTAATCTTTCTGATACAGATGTAAAGTCTTCAGTTTTCTAGATTTATTCTCTATTTTTGTAATCTTCCATACCATCACAAATTGGATAGTAATTTTTTCAATATATAAAGATGCCAGAGGCTAGGATTGAGGCAAGGCAGAACTACAATGGTTATGGTTGTGTGTTGGTGCCGAGATTGTGAGTTTTAAAAGTGGGAATTGTGTTCATCCTATTAAATAAAACACCTAAGAAAGTGTTTGACATGACTTGTAATCATACTGTAATCAGGCACTTTCACATACTCCAGAGACACGAGAAGTATGTTTTATGTACCTGAATGATACAAGAATCAATCAGATTAGTCAATATATATAATGATATATTACAAACAATTAGATGTAATTTGTTCATAAATTGTACTCACCTTCTCCCATTTTCCCATGAATCTTATCTACAAGTCATGCAATCAAACAAAGAAAGAAAAGAATTAGTCTGTACAGGTTTAGCTGTTTAGGGGTTATAACTTATAAATATCAGATTATTTCAAATAAAGTTTTTATACACTTGAGATGTGGGATTTGGAAATGATTATCGGATTATTTCAAATAAAGTTTTATTGTATAGGTTTAGCTGTTTAGGGGTTATAACTTATAAATATCCAAGAAATGAATATCTGATTCTAATTATTCACCAAATCATTTTCAAATGCCATCTCCTGATTAAATAAAATAAAAAGCATAAATAGATAGTAAATAATAATATAAGCAATACGATGTTGGTAATTTTAAAGAAGAAAAGGGGAGCAAAGGCAAGAGGTGTATTACATGAAGCTTGGTGGGAAAAGCTTCATAATAATAGATTCTTCAAATACAGGGCCATTTGGGATAGCATACATGCATCTTTGCATATTCTTCACCACCACACAACAGCTGTGATAAGTACTTCCTACTTTGACCTTGATTCAAATGAAAGTTATTAAAGATCAAGATCAATCTTTATCTTGGTAAGAATGATAAAATAGTGAGTCTTATATAATTACTCAAGCGTTATAATACATATGAATAGGGTCAACTGAGATGCAACTGAATTAGCTAAAATACCTTCCGAAATAGAATGATATTGCCAACATTAGAGCCAAAAAAACTCCTCATATGCATCGAGCATGTAGAAAGGAAGAGATCCATCAAGTTTCACCACAAATGGTGGTTTTTCATCAGAATATACACTAGGACCGATCTCAACATTCAAATAAGAGCTTATGTTCGTCTTCAATCCCGCTGTTGCACTGAGAGTTGGATCCTTTTCCACTTTAATATTAACATTTAAAGTCCAACCGTCGGCCTCCTTCATCACTGGCTCAACTTTCAGTTCACTATTATCCTTAGATGCTTCAACTTCACTTGCCACCACCGGTAACTCCTCCACAACACCCAAATCTGTTTCATTTTTAGGAAATTCTAGCACTTCCTCCCTTCTTCTATTACGTCGTGTTTATGCAAACTATTTGACGATGGAGTATTCACAACCACCACACTTGGAAATCTCAAAAGACCAAAACTTGAAGTAAGATAAAATTGAATACAGATCGAGCGCAGATTGGTATGTATCTCTTCAAAATATGCTTCCCCGTTACGATAATCCCACCACTATTCCACCAATAGCTCCGGCAACAACTGTCGGCCTAGGGCCCCCCGCTGCCTTGTAAAGCGCTTGGGTCGCTAATCCGGCCAATATGCTCTAGTCGCTAATCCAACCACCACGAATTTCATTCTGATTAACCCTAAGTTTCATGGTGTCTCTAGCCTCAGAAGCCTTCACGCCCTCTACTAAACCCTTCCCGATGCCAACTACTATGCCACTGAAGTAACCGATGTCGGTGTAGTAAGTCAGGTTTTCGCCCCATGAACTTCGTTGAGCGATGGATTCCTCTTGAAAGAGGTATTCAGGAGATGTGAGAAGTTTGTAAAGGAACTCTAAGATCTTGGTAAGGGTTGTATAGCCGACGGTTTTCGTGGTGGTCGTCATTTATGATGCCATTTGAAGATAATGGTTGGTAAGAGATGTCGTAGTTAGGGCTACAATTATGGTTTCGATCTTTCAAGAATCTGATTCTAAGAGAGAGAGAGAGAGAGAGAGATGTTTGATGATACTGAAGATGAAGATGAGGGACCTAGGGATTTATCTTGCTAAGTAGAAGAGGCGGGGATTAACTTTTTTGGATTCAATAGGCGGGGGTAATTTTCATCGATTTTATTTCCCACTAAAACGCATGTTTCACTTAAAAATTATAAAGAGACACATTTACATGACACACATTATATGAAAGGCGCCCTCCGCATTTCTTTTTTTTTCATTTCTAACACTAATTCAAGGGCGCGCACAAATACGTGCCCTCTATCCTTCAAATTTTGCAAAACTGACATTATCTTTTAGGGCACTTACAAATGCGCATCGTCTATCAGTGAGTGTCATTGTTTGCGCGTCATTAAAGGGCTATTTTCATGTAGTGCACGACGATTCATTCCTTGAATGTTTGTATATTTCTGTCCATGTCGATCTTCTTCTTGAAGATCCACTTTCTTCTAACAGTCCTGCTGTTAAGAGGTAAGTCAACCATGTCCCATACTTGATTGCCATTCATGGAATGAATTTCATCTCTCATGGCTTCAAGCCATTTATTAGATTCTGGATCTGCAGTAGCTTCCTTGAATTTGATGGGCTCACACTGATCCATCAAGAAGAGTTCCTCTTCAGGAATGACAAATCCAAAATTTTTAGTTTCCTAATGAGGTCTACTTAAGCGTTGCATAGTTCATATGTTATTTTGCATATGAATGATAGTTTCATGTTTAACAACGTTTTGTTGATTATTATTCTCACATAAAGGTTGTGTTTATCTAATTTTGTCAAGATTAATAGGTCACTTCTTTTATTCAAAATAAAGGTAGTTCAAGAAACTCTGCTTTTCGGGCTATGAACACCCGCTTCTCTTTTTTCTGGGAGAAGTAATAGCTTATGGTTTCTGTAGGGTATCCCACAAATATATACTTTTGGGATCTAGGTTCAAGATTGTTAGAAGTCTCTATTTTAACATATGCTTCACAACCCTAAATCTTTAAGTAAGACATTGATGGAACTTTTCCATGCCATAACTTGTAGGGAGTCATACTAACATTTTTAGTTGGGACCATGTTTACAATAAGGGTTGTGGTTTCGATGGAATATCCCCAAAACAAATGAGGGAGGTAAGTATGACTCATCATTGAGAATACAATATTAATTAGAATACGATTTCTCCCTTCCGAAACGCCATTGTATTATGGTGTTCTTGGTGGAGTGAGTTATGACTCTATGCCGCAATTCTTAAGACGTTCATCAAAATCATAACTTAGATATTCACCACCACAATCTAATAATATTGCTTTAATCTTTTTCCCTAGATGATTTTCTACTTCATTTTGGAATACCTTGAAGACATCGAATGCTTCATGTTTGTGTTTCATGAGATACACATTTCCAAATCTACTGAAGTCATCAGTACATATAATGAAGTATCTTTCACTGTTTCTAGTCCTTATCCTAAAAGGTTCACATATATTAATATGTATGAGTCCTAATAGATCCTAAGCCCTTTCACAAACACCGTTTAAAGGGGCTTTGTTCATCTTCCCATACAGACATGATTAACATACATCAAAAGACTCTAAGTCTGTTGATTCTAATATTTCGTCCTTTTGAAGCATAGCGATATGAGCATTGTTTATGTGTCCAAGGTGACAATGCCACAAATAAGTTTTTTTTATCAAAGTATAACTTTTTTTCTTATTATTGGGTTGGTTGTAAATTGAATTTTCTTTGTTGTATGGACCATTCAAATCAATCTCGTATATTTCATTATTGGGATAAGTCTCAAAATAGAATATATTATCTTTAAATGCATATATGGTTCCAAAATGAACGTGAAATTCATAAAGAAACCCTTGTTCATACAAAAAAAAAGTATAGATAATATTTCTAGTTATACTACGTACATAACAATAGTTGTCCAAAAAGGTGAAATTCATAAAGAAACCCTTGTTCCTTTTAAAAATTAGTTACCCTTTAAATTAATATTGAAAATCTAAGGTCCAAATCACACAAAATAACATGAGGTGATGACCCACAACACAAGTGATTTTGCTAATCGGTAGGTTATGATAACCAATTACAACTCTGATGTAATTCTATAATGGGATCCAAAAAACATTTCTTTGTTAATGGCATGTTAGTCCTAGCTATGCCTCCATACTCTTATGCTTAGGTGAAGTTTATCATATAAGAACTTGATGACATCATCCATTAAACAAACTTGTGATTTATACTTTACAAACGATTAGCTGACATTTATCCCATAAGTAACTATATGACATCTTGGTCATGACTTGATAATCCATTAGATAAGGCGACCAAAAATCCACAAGAATTGCACAAGTAATTTTTAAGTGGATTGTCTATATTTGAAGTTTTGGAATAAGGGCTTTTATAAATGTTTTATTCTTATAGCATTTTTAAACATTTTGTATCATAAATATTTCATGCATAAAATATTCCATGGTACATTATATAATTTTCCAGAATTATAAAGTTGAATTTATATCTTATATTCAATTTTACTGGTTAAAATAAATACATAATTATAAATCGATATTATAACAATATGAAGAGGCTTTTTAACCTTTTAATAAAACTTTCTTTTATTATAGAGTTATGGAGTTTAGATTAAATTGAAAACCTATTTTAAGCCTCTTTAAATAGTATAAAGTTTGGCTATTTAAGAGTTCTAAAATTAAAACTCTTTTAACAAAAAAAAAAAAAAAAAAAACTCAACTTTTTTTACATGTTATGTTGGAATTTTTTTAAATCTAAACCCTAACTTGATATTATTTTTGTCAAAATGTTTATTAGCATGGTAATCACATTTTCATACATACAACATTTTACAGCAACAAAAGATAGACATCACAAGTATGCATTATATGTGTATAAACAAAGTCATTTTCTAGCAATATTTATAGTGAGTCATCACAATAATTATTATGAAATTTTCTAAATGACTTATTAGTACGCTTCAAGATCTTCAAAAACTCCATGTCTTGGAAAAGTCTTCATTGATCCATGTTGTTACATTTTTTTAAAGAAATGTACAAACTAGTCTAAACTAATTTAATATACATAAAAAATGAACAAATGAAATAATACCTACTTATTTATTACAACATCATATGAATAATTAAATAACAACTACAAATGTCCTAGTGACTTGTTTATACACAACATTAAACATATTAACAAACAACTCTTTGTTTTTTTTCTAAGGCAACTTTTATATAACCAAAATACAAGGAAAAACGGTTATATAACAATAAACACATTTAAACTACAAGTTGCAAAAGAAAACAAACATGAATATTTCTTTAGTCAAAAAGAAATTCATGCTTGTTTTCAGAAAAAACAAAGATTATCAAACATAATAAATAATAATAACATATAAAAGATGTCTTTGATACCACTGATATGTTTTGATACATAAAATATAGTGTTTTTCATAAAAACACCAACAACGGAAGCTTTTAAAAATAACTAGTTTATTTTAAAGTATTTCAAAACAAAATCGTCAAGGATCCTTTTATACAGGTTAGAATGATATAAACGCAACCATAATATTTTTTATAATGAAAACCTTTGGAGCCTTTGAACCCACTTGGTTTTGGGGTGTTAAAGTAGATAACAAGAACAAAGAGTATGATCTTCTCTAGAAATATCTTCCACCAAGATTGAGGCACTTTAAAATGTTAGTTCCTTCTTGTATTATTGAATAACTTAACCCTTTAAGCACTTCCCACAAGTAAGAACTAAATGAGATAACTCAAGGAAGCTTTAAAGAAAAAAAACTCACTTTAAAAGAAAGCAAACTTCTTGTGTAGAAAAACCCATAGTTTTGGAGAGAATTTTGGACAAAAGAACTTATTTTTCTTATGCAGAAGACTCTCCTATGTACCCCCATGCAATTAAGGTCATGACCTATCATATAAACAAGGAGGAGGTCAGACTTAGCAAACTTCAAGGACTTTTGAGGACTGTGGAAAGTAGTCTCAAAGGTAAGAGTGTAGTTACCACTCGTACCACCGCCTCTATTATGGAAATCGGGAAAGGTAAAGGGAAAAAGAGGAAGACCCCTTCGAAGGGTAACAAGGAAAGTCTCTTGATGGCTCTTCTTTGACTGGAACCAAAGGTGGTGCTGCCACTCCCTCTTCCAACCCGAAGCATGCACAATGCTTCTACTATCAAGAAAAAGGGCACTGGAAGCAAAGCTGCCCCAAGTACTTGCAGGATGTTAAGGAAGGGAAAGGAAAACCCACCCATGTAGGTATTTACACTATATTGTCTAATAACTCACCACATACTAATTCTTGGGTCCTTGATATAGGGTATGGAATTCACATTTGTTCTAATTTGCAGGGCCTAAAAATTAGTGAGGATGTGGAGCACGGAAAGATAAAGTTGATCATTGGTAATAGAAAAGCTTCACATGTCACAAAGATTGGAGTTTATTATTTATTGCTTAATAGTGGGTTAATATTAGACTTGAATAAATGTTGTTACTCATCTGAAATGGCGAGAAATATTATTTCCTTTCATGGTTTATACAGAAAGGATTTACTTTTTCATTTGTTAATGAATGTGGTGGTATTAATGCTTTTTATAATGGTGTTTTTTTTTATTTTAAAGCATTACCATGTGATGGTGTATATGAAAACTTTCTCATTTGTAGATAACTTAGGAAATAATGTATTAATGTTGATTCCTCCACTAGTTTGGATAAGGCATCTTTGTTGCATTGTCATCTTGGACATGTAAAAAAGAAGCGCATAGGCCAACTCCAAAAGGTTAGATTCTTGGAGTTATTTGACTTAAGGTCAGATGATAGTTGTGAATCTTGTTTACTTAGAAATATAACTAAGTCACCCTTCACTGGTACTTGTGCT